ATAAATCTAAGCAATGTAGATATGTTAAGGGTGATTCATAGTATCATTAGCATTATTTTACAATGTGAATGAATTTATTTGAGGCTTCGTTTTCACGACAGACCTAATTACTTTTTTTGGTTAATAAAATGTTCAACTGAATTCGGTGCTCGTGGTTGCAACTCAAATGGTTCGAATTTTACAGTAATACTTCTTTAAAAGAAATAAGTTGTACATTTTCTAATAGTATTTGAATTATTTCATATGAATTACTTTGTCTTCTAATAGTATTTCGATTCAGTCTTCATCTTTGTCCTTCCACGACAAACTCCCGTGACAATGTTATCAGCCTTCTAATTTCTTTCAGTGATTTAAAATAAAAGTTATATTGGGATAAGACGAAGATTTGGAAGCCTTCCTTTCATTTATGACATTTTACTTTAATAAGAAATAGCGTGTGAGCTGCATATTCCTGGGATCCAGTGATACTTTGCTGTCGATTTTCATAAGTGACATAGAATTTAAATTCGCCGGGATTTTATAACTGTGCAATGTTGGTATCTACTCCAACGTTTAACATTTCCTTTTCCAGAAACATGTCAATAAAAACGAAATATTCGGAGACCGTTGTTACAATGCTACGGAAATGAAAGCTGTGAAATTTAGGTCCTTAAATCATTTCTTAGTATTAGCATCTAGTAAAAAGGTGATTTACAGATGAGAGATTTCCGTGAGTGGTACAAAGTATGTGTAAAGGCAATGTTGGTTATTTGCATGCATCGTTGCAATAGCAGTAATCATAGAAAGCAATCTGAAAATCGGGACTTTCTGAATGTTTAATTGCGATCGCTGCTGTTGACAGTTTCTGATTGATCATTTGTTCTCTGGGAGGGGGTCACTATTCCAGTCGTTTGACCAGTCATCTCCATTTGCCTTCTGGATAGGTTATTGAATCCTACTTATCAATCTGTGAATCAGTTAGTGAAAATACTCTAGTTTCGAGTCTTTTTATCGGCTTCCTATTCTACGTCTGTCCCAGAATTGTTCTAATATTTGCTTTCTCAGAATGTGCTAATGCTTTATTTAAGTCGAAGGAAAATTTCTTTTATCGGTTTTTGATATGCTTTGAAAGTTTTCTTTGTTTTGGTTTTGTATGTGATATTTTAATTGGCTGCCTTCTGGTGTTATCGTAATTAATGATTTATGTTTCTTTCATTTTACAGTGGACGCTGTTTAGCCTGACTTGGAACAGATGCAAGGGACGCTAATTCGAATTCAGTTTCGGTAAGTTACTCTCTCCTGTTTTTATACTACTTCAAATCCTGTAGGGAAGTTGTGTGCAAAAGCTTAAGGCTTCTTATTAGGAAATTTTCTCATGTTCAGCACTGGTGCTTACGTGGAATGATTTCCAGTATTTCATCTAGCATGTTCGTATCGCGCGCACTACCATGCGTGAAAGTTGATGTGTAGGTTATTTCTGGAGTAAAGTAAGAAAGCACATTGAAAATTTAAAGCACGGCGGGGATTATCGAAAAACGTATTAAACATGCGGTAGGAGGTATTACTATATTTTTGTTCTGGCTTTTGCAGTTAATTGTTTTGGTAGCAGTCATTCTTCATTTCCCACGAAATACGTTACTCTTATTAAATCATTTGTTTCGTTTTGAATTTCCGCATCCTTTTTATTTCAATGACGGTAGTAGTAGTTCCAAGATATCATTTTGCATTTAATTTTTCTAGTTAGTTGCGACAATTACCACACTATACGGGTTTTCAGCACTGAGCCATCGGTTTTCCACAAAAAAATTCAGTTTTTCCACAAATTCAAAAAAAATTCAGTTTCTCCACAAATTCAATTTTTCATAACAGGCTTTCGAAAATTTTGTAGAAAATTAAATTGTTCATTCGCAGATTCTAAAACCGCCAACACCATGCGCAGGAAATTCGAGTGTTGGTGCGGAAGCACGTTCAAAAGAATTCATCGAAGAGGATAATACGGAAGAGAAACCACCGAAAGTATCGAAGAATGTGAGGCTGCAGAGGTTTATTTCAGTTCGAATTTTTTTATTTTAATATTGATTTCACTTTATCGTTTGTTTCTCTAGATTGATAGTATTAATATTTTGATATATGGACATTGGAAAGTGATATGAGACTGGTTTTGTAGGGAACCTGACGAAACAACGAAGTCGAAGGATGAGTTTCTGGTGATTAATGGAAACAGGGAGTCAGGTTACAAGATGCAAGGAATCTTCGAGCATGTTTTTTATCCTTGGAATTGTCCTGTCTTTCTTTTTATTTTCTTGAACTGCTAACCAGCAGAAAACTAATAGAAATTAACACATGGCAAAGTATTCAGTAATGGGAACTTTTAGGTAGTCCCAAGTCCTCAAGTGGAACTTCGACCAATCTGAAACTGACCATGATGATCAGCTAAAAACATTGCATGGGTAATGTTACCACCCAAGCATCTTCGTCAACATTCCTGTTTGACAGTGATTTCAAATAACAGCTTAAACGAATCAACATCTTACAGTTGGTAAATTGTCAGATCACAAATGGTCGTGTACATCAGATCTTCACAAATGCTCACGTGACTCAGATCATCACAAATGCTCACATAAATCACACCATGAATTTAAATAGCTGTCTTCGTTTTTTTGGCGTTTGAATTGGATTTCGACTAGAATTGTTGGTTGTGGATGTTTGAGTATGTGGAGTTTGAAAATAGTTCATCGGTTGTTATTTGACATTTGAAATCACACCAATTCGGCAACTCGCAAGAATTGCAATCAATGCAGGGCCACTAGGTTTTTCTTTTCTTTTCTCTTTTTTTTTTGAACGATTTAATAGTTGGAATGGCTATGTGTTGTCAGTTCTGACGTAATGTACTGTCGGTGTTACAACTATAGTGGACGGATTATTTGACTTGATAAGAGCATTTTTCTGATTTTCTTGCTCTCACATGAATTATATTTACTTGTTTGAGAAGGCAATTGCAAAGTACGTTTTAGGTGACAAACTCATTCATAGTTACCTGTTCTCAATTTCGAACAGGCTCTTTGGAGACAATGAAGAGAGGAAGGTGATTAGTTAGGAATGCAATGAATGGTTGGTAATAGAAAGTACAAATAGCACCGTATACTGCTGGTAAAATAAAACGGAGTGATCAGTGAAAATGCAACTGATCACATGATTGAAGTGGTCTTAAGGCTCTGTCCAGATGTAAGTAAGGTGCGTTTCATTCCTTCGAAGTAAAGGTTGGGGAAAATTTTGAATTGGGATGTCAAATAAATGTAAGCTGTAATTTCAGTGAGGCCAATTCAATTTGCGATTGCTTATCTCTTATTGTTTACAAAAAAAGATAAGAATAAACGAATTAAATAATTTGTGCGACTAATATCCTATTTTGGCACATGAGTGTAAATCACTTTCATCTAAACAACCGCCACAACGTAAGTGAAAGGCTTTAATGTTTAAATAATGAAAGAGTGGAATTAATAAAAGTTGGATTTGGATTATCAATTGTGATTTTAGAGATTGATTTTTTTAAACCATATTTTACAGTATTATGAAGTATGGTACGTTTGCGGGAGCTGGTAAGCCCCAAAAGCATTCAATGCTTAACTGATTGATTTATCGACCCACATATACACATAGGGAGACAAGTCCACACCTCCGAACTGCTGAAGTGTCCCGGAAAGTTTTTTCTGGCTAGTTTCCAGTGTTAACAAATGGATTTTGGGGCTTGAAATTCCTGGTAAGCGCACTGAAGGGATGCAATGTTGAGAGGAGGACAGATAATTTTATCAATACTGCAAATGAAATAAAATGAATTCTAAAGAATTCATCTGCAACTGTTCCATTCAAGCATAGCGGTCATTTTTCGTGTTTGTCAATGATAATTGGAAATTTGCAAGTCTTCGCTATCAGCGGTTTGTCAAGTTGTCAAATCAAACGGAAATACTTCAAGGTATTTTAGAACAGAAATTGATTGGCAAGATTGGTTGCATTTATCATCAAAGAGAAGTGTATGCAAAATTCTGACATAATTGTGTCCAGCCAATCATTGTTGTTATTGTTGATGGGAGAGTTGACATTCGACACTTCATTTCATATTACAGCAAAATATGTCATTGTTAATTTAGTGTTATAACAAATGTAAAAATGCTGGATGGCTTATTCGAGTGCAATCCGTTCGATATTTTCGGTTATAATGAAAATATACAAAGGGACGAGGAGCTATTCTGCCAATCATAAATGTCTTATTTCATTGGTTCTCTCACGATCTATCAATTTTATGATTTTTTTAATCCTAAAATATGGAATTTAGCGATAATTTCGAAACATAATTTTTTAACTGTTACAAAGTGGAAGGTCCCCTCTTTATCTAATTTTAATTGCTTTCTAAATTATTAGTTTCATGTGGTTCCATGTTTCTTCATTTTAAAATGCATTGTTCATCGCTAATGGTTGAAATAGACAATGAAAAGGAAGGGAAGATTTCCAACGCATCGAAACGCATTGTTACGATTTGTATTGGAAGTTGGGAATATTGCTCAACAGTTCGAATTATGTTATCAATGATATGATAAAGTGAAATGATATGGTGTTTAATATGATCCTTTCCAGAATCTCTTCATTCTTATTGTCTGAAAGATGATGAGTGGCCACATTGGAAAAGATAAGTATAAAATGTAAAATTGAAAAATTTGCGGAGTTATAAATTTTTCTTAGGAATCTGATATTCCTTTTTTTCTTTTACTCATGGAATCTGATATATATATTGGTCCTCAAGTATTTCCTTTTTTTTTTTTTTTTGCGATCAAACAATTGAAACATGCCAAAATTTTCCAAAGAAAGAGATGATTTTGAATGAATGTGAGAAACAATTTATCGTTTATGTACTGTTGAATTAAAATGTATCGATTGTATTGATGTGTTGAAAAATGTATTGTTAAATGTATTGATTTTTTCAAATATATAAAATGTAATGATTTTCTAAAATTAAATTAAAATTTGTTGGAAGAAGACAAAAGTTAAATTAAGTGTAAATTTCGCGAAAACTACGATGAAATTTAGTATTATTTAGGTGAAGTGCATCAAAAGTAGTCTTTTTTTTTTGAAATTCCGGTGAATAAAATATTCGAATCACTGATCAGTTCAGTGATACATTCAGCAAATGTTGATAAATACAGGTGCAGGCGCGAAAGGATGTAATTATTCAGTATTGCTTGAATTTGCAAATATAATTTGTACAATTTTATAAATGAATACCTAATGAAGTCAGGTGTATTAATTGGAATATTTCGAAATTCCAACCTGGATTTTGCTTTCTTTTTTTTACATTTATTTTTTCAAATGAAATGGGAAAATTTAAATTAGTTTTAAATATTTGCAATAATATTTCAAGAGGGATTTAATCATGAATGCTAATAAAAGCATTTTGAATACTACTACATCATTTTGTTCCATTTATAATTTGATAGTTGAATGGATGAATGATTGAAAAATAAACATTTTATTAATTAGCATTATGAGCACAAAAAGTTTAATGCTCAATCATGTCTACCGTATCATTTGCAAATTTGTAGGCATTTTGTTTTTTGTTTGTTTTTTTTTTTTACATCTTCGACCGTAACTCTGTTAGGAATTGCAGGTAATCTCGATAAATTGTCAACTTTGTGTCACTATCCAGGTAAAGAAAAGATAAGATTACATAGACATACCAGATAGTTCTAGCATCGCAAGTTACTACCATATTTGACGGCTGGATAAATTGTTATTTTAGGAATTTCGTTCAAATATTTTTGCTGTTTTCATCTCTCCGTAATTTTAAGTAAAATTAGCTTTTGTTTTTTTTTTACTTTTTGTTTTTTATTTTTTTCTAGAGAGGAAAGGAGCTGAAACTCAGGTAAAAAAAACTTGACAGACTTTAAATTATTGTAAATTTCGGACTTTAAACTATAAACTTTAAATTAAGCGAACACTGTAAAAAAAAGGTTTGATTTAACATGTTTGCTTTATAGTAATAACGATGAAAGCTTATTTGAATTATATCAATATCGTTCAAATTACATTATTGATTCAAATAATGATTAGTATGTCACTGGATTACTCAAATAATGAAAATAAAAAGGCTAAAAAATAGTTTTAATGATAGGATATGAATGAACAAAGGAAAATGTATTGTAAAAAAAGGACTTCTTTAGAAATTTTTAGAAATTCTCTTTTCTTTGTTTTAAATAATAAATAATATTTTAAAAGTAATAATACTTTTAATCAATTGGATTGTAAACGAATTTATTTGTAAAAATAAATTTAACACTGTTTGCTCCTACAATGATAACGATAAAAGTTAAGACATGATAAAAGTCGAAGTTAACTTTTGCTTCATTAATAATTTCAATATTTAAAATATTTCAAAAATTTTCCAACATGCAAGCCTAGCCTTATATTTCTTAATTTGAAGCAAATTTTACTCTTTCCATATTTTAATTTTGTTAACAAATATCACTGATATCGATAATATATTAGATGTTAATGTTAAAATATCATTTTATCATCCCTTTAATATTGCATAATTTTTATTTAACTAAATACATATTTACATACATTTAGAAATAGCCTTTATAATTCGATTGTCGCGAAAAAAGGTCATGAACTTTTTTTTCGCCTAACCATGGCAGATATTGGAAAACTAATTTAAGTGTATGGTGATTAAGACGAATTATCTTTACGTATCAATCTTGAATAATTGTTACGTAATCTTCACGTATTTTACATATAGCATTAGCACTTTGCAAATTATCAATGCTAAAAAAAAAAAACTAATACCATATGAATGTTTTGATTTTTCGGGAAAAGAAAAAAAAACTCTCAAATAATATTAATTTACTTACAATTATTGTGTGATAGTAAACAGAGAATAATTTTAAAATTCATTTGTACGATTTGCATAAAATTTTACGCCAATTAATTAGTTAAACATTAGGGTGTCACAGTGCATAGAAGCCTCTCAGCAACTAACTCATATTATTTAAACTTTCTCATCTACTTGGATATTTTATGATGATTCTAATTTTTTTCCTTTTTTTTTGTCTTTTTTTTTTTTACGCATAAAAAGAATATGAATTATAGCATGAATTAGGGAGATTTTGTTTTTGTTCCAAAGTTAAAATGTATAAAAAATTCTAGGGATCAAAGGTTAACGATGATACGGAATTTGCATCTCCTGAAGACCAGATATTAACCAAAGCAGATGTAGAATTTAGTTCAGGATAAATGTAAATTTATTTGACTTCAAGATTTATGCATTACGTATAGCTGCTGAACCGGTGAATTTCACAAAGACACCTTTCAGGTTTCAAGAAATATTTGATGGTGCGATTGGCGGGGTTTGATTCTTGCTGGCAAAGGGGTTATGGAATGACGGGAAAGGGAGTCAAAGATCGATGTGGTTCTGGAGATACAATCGGTAGAGGTTGAATGTAGCATAGTAACCAACTATAATTGAGAGATAACTAGAGACTACTGAGATTTATGGAGTAGTATGTTACTGGGGATTGGGAAAATTTTCCGGTATACCTGTAGTATTGTCTAAGCATTGTTTATGATTAGAATATTATAGCAAGAAGAGATGGCAGAGAGAAATAGTGAAGTGATAAATTGTGGAAATATCTTAAGTAATTGCGTTAGATAACTGTAACATTGATTGAATTAGAAGAGGATGAAACAGCAGTGTTTTTCTTTTTGATATATTCAAAATTAAGAAATTAATATTTTTAGCGAAGATAATATTTGCTTTGTTAAGTAATTTCAACAACTTTTTTCTTTGTATGTTTCCTCAGAAGAGTTAAGGAAAGTCAGAAAAATACAGTTATACTTTTTCGCATCCGTTGTATATGTTGAGCGGATGATTTTACTAATTTCTTCAAACGTTTCAGAATTTAAGGTGCTAGTTTTGTTATTATTTGGAAAAGATAATTTCATATTTTATTTTTGCAACATTTATTTTGCACTGGAAAGATATCTGACATGATCAATTCTTTTCTTCTGTGTTTTATTGCCTTGCTAGTATACATGTGATCTTTCCTTTTGAATAGTGATAGGCACTAAATTCTCCGAAATTTTCAAGTAGTTAGAATTCATTTGCACGGATACTTTGAATTCCCATGATAACTTTCGGGATTACCCATTTTCCTGATTTCAGATATGAGCGTGCTAAACTCTCATTACCAACTTCGGCACTAAAATTAGCGCTGTTGAGGATTTCAGAATGATATTTTCGACAATGTTGCTGCATGGAAATGCTGCAGCATTATATTTGAAGAAGTCACGTCCGTTTTTCCGGATTGGTTTATGTATAGTTTTGTTAGGTTAGTTTGACGTACTGTTTTGCATAAAGTGAAACTTGTTAAGGCATGACATTTTATTTTAATTGGTGGTTTCATTATCGCGCTCCTTATTAATTTTCTGGGCACAAAAAATAAGAGTTACCTCCAGCACTGTTTAATGTCATGTTGTACTTATCCAAAATGCTGTATCATCTTCCATCAAACGGCACGGACGTCGTTGATGGCGAAGAGGTAGTATTTTGTGTTTTATTTATGTCTCTCTTTTTTTAGGTGGAATTTTATCTCTTTCTAAAGTTATTTTTGAATTCTTCTCGTTAACCGGTTATGATTTGGCGCGATTTGAATTGTGGCGACTACTTACACATTTTATTATCGAAACCAATATTTTTGCTTTCATTTTACTGGTATGGAATCTTCATCAGGTGGCATCATTAATCGAGCCAAGCTGGGGCATATTCGAAACCATTAAATATTTAAGCATCGTTCAGGTGTAATTTTTGTGCTACATAATTTTAAAGCTTGCTTAGTTCTGTTTATTCGCAATACAAATTTTAAACATCTCCAAGTTTCCGGATCGGTGGTCAACTTGGTAGTCTAAATCACTCAATAGTCTAAAATGTAAAAGTAACAAGGGCGGAATACGCTAATTTTCACTGGGGAGAAATTTGCTGATTTATACTAAAGGTTCAAAGTGATATATGTAAATACTAGCAAATTAAGTGATGATGCATTTTCTATCCAGCTTTTTTTTAATGCTAAGAAATAGTACACTACACACCGTGTGTGACTTCTTATATCTTTTGTACACTTCACGATAGTAGGTCACCACCTAGGGTTTTTTAGACATTTTGTATACTGTTGTTTGAATGAAATAATATAAATTCAAACGTCAATTCATTTAATTTACTTTTTATTAGGATATTGTAGACTGAACAGCTTTTTATTTATCAAATAAACATTACTAAAATGGGCTGAATTTAATTGAATCGAAATAAACTGAAAAGGATTAGATTGCATTGTTTTGCTCTTTATCAGAATATCTTTTGGTCCACTTGAAATAAACGATAGAAATCTTAACCTCTTCATAAATTCCACTTTCCAGATTGGATCATCACTTTTAATCGCGATTATGGCACTACTAACATTTGTTGTCACAGCAAATGACACCTTTTTCTTCCGGACGTGTATATTTGGTTTACCATCTGCTTGTTCCGCCGTTTGTGTTGCCGTAAAACAAGTAAAGAGTTTGTATGTCCTTACAAAAATTTTAAATCCTTTCCCAGACCAGTATCCCTTTGATTTATCATCAATATCCCATACAGAAATATTTGTTGTAACAAAGGCGTTGATTGGTTGATTAAGCAGCTATTTTTAAGCGGTATTATCCATCTTTTTTTAACTTTTACTTTACCATCCTCTAAAAGAATTGATCTGTACATTTGGGTATCGTTTTCAGTACCTGCCAGATTCGATACTTTTGACGACACCGATTGGACGTATCAAAAATACTCATCTTCCTTCTTGTATTCTTGTTTGTGCATCATTCTTGGTTGGATTTGGCCTTCTTCGTTGGGTCTCGTTGCTTCAGATTTTATTTGGTATTCAGATAAGCTGGATTTATGTACGGTTTTTGCAACCACATGATGGTGAACGAGGGGATCCCAGCGAACATTTTGCGTGGGCAACGTATGCCATATGATGTTTTTTCAACTATGTTGCAAATTGCGTCTGTATTATTCTCCATAAGTTTTGCAATTTCGCCTTTACTAATGGTAACTTCTTCGTTGAGTAGCTTATCCGAAGTGTGGGTGCAGTGCCAAAGGAATCTGAGCATTATGCGGCATCACTAAAGTCGTTCCTTTTTTTATTTAGTTCAAGTTTTCGCTAGATAATAGCGTGACTGTACGGTGAACAGTGCAACAGATGAGTCTTGGAATAAGGTTTGAAATACTTACTGTCGAACAATGCATTCTATTTCACCCACTTAGATTTTCAGCGATTCGAATTAACTGTTTGTAATCGGTCAACATGAGATACTGTCACCCGTCTTAGCCTGAATTATTGCTGTTCTCATACAATGCATTCATGTAACGTCCGATGAGATAAATAGGTCGATTTTCACATAGGCAAACTGTATCGCTTTTCATCATTTGAAAGGTCTAAAGTTGTAACACTCCAAAATTTACAAAAAAAATTGTGTATTAAATTTGGAAGCGGGCAAAGTTTGTTTCTTTTCGATACCAGCTATATCCAATTTATTTCTCTGCAGCATCCGTTTAATTTTCCTACAGTTTCAGTCTATTCCCGTCGAAGTTACAACCATTAATGAGAATCCTATCATCAGCAGTTTATAGTTGCTTGATACAAGTAAATCTATGTAAACCAGTGGCAAGGCATATCGATCTAACGCAGCTTGATTCCATAAATATCATTCTTCCTGGTTTACATACGAGAGATACGGAAAGAAGGCGGTAGGACTTCTTTTTACATTTTTTAGATGTCTTTGACATTTCGATTATCATCGATTGTTTAGTGCCAATAATACATTATATACATGTTGAACCCCTTACATCTATCATTTTTCGATTGGATCTCTGCTTCTGTTTAATGTCGTCAACCATAAGATTAAATTGGGCTTGACGACTGCTTCGTGTTGATCTATTTAAATAATAGAAATATTCAAGGCAAAAAGCGCTACGTGACTTGACTGAACGTTTAAATCGAGTACAGCAAGCTGAAACAGGTCTGTGGCCAGAAATGGAAGATGTTGAAGAAGATATAACGGTTCAGGACACTTCTGCAATACAACAGCAGGAAGAGTCAAGACCACAAGACTCAGTTAGTTTTAAACATTATAAGCCTGAATCGTACGTAAATCTGCTTTACCCTACAATCCAGACAGTGGATTGAAGTGATGATTAGACGTCCGGCGTCAGGATATTCTTGCAGCAGTAGCTGCACGACCACTCAGTGTGGATTTATGGAAAGATTCGTCACATGGAATAAGCAGTTGATGCTGATATTTAAATTTCTACTGAACTGAGCTTTCCTTAGTATCAAAATTTGGTTTAGGAGGAGAGACCAAGACCAGAAGTAAACATGGGTATAAAATATGGGTATAAAAATTTTCAACGTTTTTTATATCATGAAGTCCTGAATTTTTTACGCTTTTCTGTATAACTTATTTTCATTCGCAGCAAAATCAGTTTTCGTGGACTGTGGAACCGAAATACTCTTTTCCACTCCAATAAATTTTGATTCATCTATCGCCTTTTCTAGGTACGTCTGATTGAAGGAATTAATGCTGATACGGAAAAAGAAAAAACAAATACATAAAATGCTTGCTTCTGAGCAAGACAATTCAGCTTTCGACAGACATCATTTGGAATTAAAACTAAGTGGTTTTGGAGCATTTTTCGATGTTAATTAGTTGTATTGTTCTGTAATAGTAATTTTGAGAAAATACAAGCATTTTGTTCCGAAGAATGATTGATAGAAATGATCGGGAAGTGCTGGCCTACCTAAATGAAGAAAATGTTGATTTTTAACTTACAGTTTAAAAAAAAATTGCATAACAAGTTTTCTTTTTCCCGTATTGTTATAACAGGCCTTGCACTTCATTATGTGCAGTTATATTGATCACTATTGCTAGTGTATTTCCAAATTTTCTGTGGCTTGTGACAATAACCAATGACATTTTTTTAGAACCCTTTAAGAAGTTCTGTTTCTGGGTGCTTTATGGCTCTTTTATTGATAATAATATGATAAATGTATTGTACTGTGTGAAAGACACAGGATAATAAATGATGCGACTGCTGTCATTTAATAAACTTATGGATATATATGCAATTGGTTATGTGGTAATTTCGTGACGACTGGAATCAAGCTATATATGCTGACGTCAGATTTATCAAGACCAGCTTGTCACCTCTGTCAATGCTTTCTCACTCTTACATTCCTGGATTTATTTTGTACTTCTGTTCTACTTGAGCTCAAGTAATGGGCAACTTTAACACACAGATTGTAGTTGCAAATTTTTGGCACTGCTAAAATACGCATATCTTGGGATCTGTGATTTGTATTTATGTGATACCGTGAAGTACTTAGTACTTTACGTTAACGTTGTTCCAGAACACGTAATACTTTAAAGAATACTCCACGTTTTCGGCAACACTATAGAGAGTGCTGTTCTTGAGGCATTCCTGACTAGATTAATCAAAGATTGAGATGTGCAAACAAGTGTATTTAGACGAAAAAAATGCCTTCAATCGTACAAAATAAAACTTTATATACAGAGAGGAAAGCTGCGCTGCCCTTCCCTGTCTACTCTAGGCTTCTTCATTTAACTGTCCTATCCTGTGGTTTAGATCAAGGGGCCAACATTGTTAACAACAGCCTAAAATACCAATATTGGAAGTATCATGACCCAGGTGGCCAGGTAACACAATACGACCAGACTTATGTTGGTCAATTCTTTCCTCATTCCGACAGGATCGTTATTATCATGGACATCTCCTTTCAACGGTATCATTACTATCTTGAACACCTCCTTCCAACAGGACCGTTACTATCCTAGTTAGCTTGATACATATTTACATTTATCCACTTACAAAAACAAATTTACAAATCATCCGTGCCTCATCACCATTCCCTTCTTCGTTACGGAGTCAAACTTTTCACTGCCGATTATAGACCACAGCACTCCCTTTTATGCACATTGATGTGGGCAAAATACCCAATACTCCAGACAGCATATTACATTCAACCCTCCATAGACGGAATAATAAAAACAGAGCGTCGCCGATTTTCTTCAATTGTGACAAAACTGAGGATTCTTTCTGCTTCTTTGGGTAGTAGTACCTCAAACTTGGGTAATCAAACCTTTATTACGATAAATTTGTTAATGCTACAACGAACTTCCAATTACGACATCGATACAACAATTTAATGACGAAAACACTAGGAACAAAGAAGACCAAATAACCTCGATATCGTATATCTAACCGACCTCGATGAAATACACCTTTCCAAATGATTTTGGTACTCAGGACACTCACTTCCCTCGAATCAAGAGATCCTGAGATCAGATCTGTGGTCACAATTACCTCCTTTGTTAAAGCACATAGGCATAATGGGCGCACAATATTAGCTTACATTGCTCAGTTTATCTTCACATACAATGAATTATATCAGCAGTATCAAAGCAATTATTAATTCATTGCTTCCCCTCGCGATTTCAACGACACAGAGCACTTTCGACATGTACAACTCACATCCCCGAACCTCTGCTTCCACTTCCGGTACCATCGACTTTCGCACTGGAGAATGATCCCACCCTACTATTCCCAATATGATCGCGTAACAGAGTCTGAGTTGTACCCATTACACGGCTCCGACCACCTTTCTAGCCAAATGGCCTTAAGCAAATACGGAATTAGCCGGTCCATGAGTGCCTGCCTACCCAACGAGTTCCGTGAACAATCATGGAACAGCCAACTCTTCGGCAGGCACGGAACAACCAGATGCAAGAACACCATAAGTAGCTACAGATCGGCTGCTTTGTGAGTACACACGGAGCCAACTAATTCATGAGCAGCTACGGAACCAGCTGATCCGTGAGCAGAGGTAGAACCAGCTGGCCCCTTTTCTTTGTCACCCTATTGTCTCCACCTGATATGTCGCCTTCCTACGGCCGCAAACCTGAAAAGTCACCAGTTATGGTAGATTATTGGATTAAAGGAAAAAAAGACGTAAAATACTTTTCACTTTAGTAATTACACTGCTAGAAAACGTCAGTACCTGTAACGCCCGCTTTTTCTAATATTTGAATAAATGGAACAGAGGAAACGAGCCAAGCAACATTACACTTACATGAATATAGATCCCTATCAGAACCAAAAATAAACATACCAAGCGAGCCAACCTTAAATATATCTTTTGCAATTCGGAGCCGGCAATTGGAGTTAACTTCTCCAAACATACAAAAATTAACTTCTCTCACTCTGCCAAAACCTCACTACGGAATTTGAAAGAAGTTACACACAGAATGTTTAATCAAATTTAAAACAACGTCATAGAAAATTATGTCAATCTTGAAACGACAATACCATAATCCTGATGACATTTTTACCCATAGGGCTTCATCCGTATTTTAATTTCTCCATTTCACAATGTTTAATCATTTTTTTGTTTTTATACCTCATCATAATGATTAGTGTAAGCAATGCAAGAATATGTCACCCAAACTTGAAAAAGCCCTAGGAAGCATAGCAGCATCTAAGAAAAAAAAAAAAAACAATAGTTTGTACTAATATTAAAAAAGAAAAAGTGCTGAGATGAGGTGTTTTGCAAGAAAACATCACTGTATCTTTAAAAGAAAAAAAAAAATTCTTTGGATCATCAGTTTCCTTTGGTTACTTTTGCGTAAATTTGCTACTTCTAATGTCATCAATCTTTTGTTCGATTTTAACGCCTTCAAACCAAAATAAAATCTGAACGGTAAATAATTTCGATTTTATACGATGAAACTATAAGACTTATTAATTTTTAATTATATTTTCAAACTACTATTTAATTAAAAAACACCTCTAATTGTGCAACTTCTACAATAGTACCGCACATAGGATAAAAAAAAAGAAAAAAAAAAATGTCCCGGTAAACACAAAATAACATCCCATTGAATTTATCTCGAATAAATGACGTTCCACCGGAAGAAATAACACGAGAATGAGGAACGATATTTTACTGACTCATTGTAACAAGAATAATGGTACTTACAAAGAGATGGAGAGAACCAGAATCTACTGAGGAAATATTAGCTCCAAACTGAGCTTTCCGTATAACTAGGATTCTGGTCGAATACATCGTCAGAAGTTTCTGTAACTATTGTAAGTCTAAAAAGAATTGATGAAAGTAATATCGGCGAATAATAAATTTACCACAGTAAATCTACCAGATTAGGTGCCTTTTAGCGGATAAACGAAATTTTTCATTGCTCTATTACACAAACAATACGGATACTTTTTTTACGCTTATTTGATGATCAATAAGATTATGTATCAAATAAGCAAATTAGATGACTTATCAGGCTTACAAAAGTCTTTACCGATGGAACAGTAAAGCATTCTAACCGAAGAAACATGAAAGCATTACTGGAATCATTACAGTGAAAATTAGGAATGCGAATGAAATGATTGAAATTTTTTTAAAATTCACATCCAATCTTAAGAATGATATGATGTTTCGTATTTTTTCTTTCACACTAATTTAAATAAACAATTTAATTTTAAGTAAGTTTTTATTCACATTAATGTAAATAAGCAATTTGCTGAATGATTATTGTATTATTGCATATTGTTAATATGAAATTTTGGATTTCATTATGCAAATTATTTGCTTAATTTTATTTACAAATCAATAAATTTCATTTGATATTAAATATTGACCAATAAAAGTTTGAAACATTTTGAATTTCATGGATAAAATAAATAATTTTTTGTATTTTTTCCCGTTTATTTACAATGTATGATTAGTTGAAATTGTTAAGGAATTAACTTTTTTTTTTTTGCTTTTTCTTTTTCTTTCGTTTTGCTAACAATTTGTTTAAAAAATTTTTATCATTAATTATCATTAAAAGAAACGAAATATTTCCCGAAATTATTGGATTAACTGAAGAAAAAAAAAAAAAAGAAAAAAGAAAAAAAAAATTAAATATATAAGCTCCCATTTTGTTACATCTTATATAATTAATATACATGAAAAAAAATATCAGTGAAATGTAAATTTGAATCAATGGAGATATTCAAGAAGTCGAGGTTTATATTCGTAATAGAGAGCAATTCGATCCAAACCATAACTGATATAATCAAATGAAATGGGTAATGATTCATCAGCTAAAAAAAATGACCAAATGGACCAAAAGAGATGTGATACAGCTGGAAAACGTTGTGCTTCAATGGATAATTTTTGAATTTCTGCTGCACGATTCATGGATAAACCATTCACCGGATAGAAATGATTACCATTTTTCTTTTGCTATAATTATTAATTTTAATGTTAATAATAATTATAACAATTAATAACTAAATTTTCGTCGTTTTTTTTTTTCTTATAAAAAATTTTTAAAACTATTTATATTAGATGCAAATAATTTTAATTATCAATAAAAATTTCTTGCTAAACCTATTAATAGCATTAGTAATATGATCTATAAATGATGATGAATCAATGTTTTACTATTAATTTAAAAATAATTTTTGGAATTTTAAAATTTAACAAAAAAAAAAAACAGCATTTGCATGTAATGTATATATATATATCTTATTTTGATCTTTGAATTTTTAGTATTATCAAAATATTAAAAACATTAACAAATGCAATTTAAAAAAAAAAAAAAAATTTACCCGATCAATTTCATCCAAATATGTATTAAAAAGAAAATGAAGCTGTTCATCAGATGGTATTCGATCCTGTTTTACCCAGTAAAATGGTGGTTTATCATTACCATAATCCAATGTATGCTCACAAATATAATTACCAAATTCAAAACCACTGCAAATTAAATATTTATCATCATTTTTGAAATATTTTTTATTGTAATAAATTGCAAAAAATTTTTCAAATATATCCTCAATTAACAAACTGAAACGATGAATATCAAAAAAAAGAAAAAAATAGAGGTAATTATAGTATTATTATTTTGGAATATTTTTTTTTAATAATAGTAAATTGGAAAAAATTTTTCAAATATATCTTTAAATAATAAATAGAAAAGATGAATATCGTTAAAAAAAAAANAAAAAAACGAAAAAATAACCGGTAATTA